CTTCCGGGCCTGGCAGTCTTGTACGGAGAAAGAGGCCTTGAGGCCTCATTCCCTGGGTGGGCCTCGGGAAATGGGGGAGGCTACCAGGGTCAGCAGGGGAGCTGACCCCCTGTGGGAGCATTTTGCTCCTTCAGTTATTTTTCTCCTCATCCTTCACCTTCTATAGAGCAATTAAAATAGGAAAGAAGAAGAGGCAGAGGCTGGCATGGTGCCAGTTTCCCCTCCACCCCTACTCTAACCCAAAACCCAAAGTGTCTACATGCAAAACCCTTGGGAGTGGGCACAGGAACAGGTGGCGATAGTGGTACCATTCCGCCACCTATAGTCAACACACACCAACAGTACATCTGGGGGTGGGGTGTGTGTGCGTCAGGGTCTTTTCTACCCCCCGTTCCTCATCTGCCATTTAGGGAGGGGGTCCAGAGGAAGGGCAGACCATCGGGTGTGGGCCTGGGCTGCGGGTGGGCTCTGGGATTGGAGGGTTGCCGGGGCTGGTGCTCCGTCCTCCCTGGGGCTGTCTGAACTCCTGGAACGTGTCTCCTGATTACTATGGATGGTCCGTTGGCCGGGGTGGCTGCCGGGGTCCAGTGGGTGGTTGYCTGGGGGTGTGCGCTTGGCCGTTGGCGGTGTGTGTGTGTGTGGTTGCCGGGCCAGGCCTTATCTGTCTGCTCCTCTCCACCCCAGAATGAATGGGTCTACCCCCTGGGTTCAGGTGTGTGCTGCCTCCTGTAAAGGGCGGGTGCATGTTCTGGACCTGGGGGGTATAGAGTGTGTATCAGGAGCATGAGTAAAATGTGGCGTCCTCCTTGCATGTCTTTGAATGAGTGGGTGTGAGGATGAGGGTGGGATTGTGTGGTTTTGTATGCTTGGGTATTTGTCAGGCTGGGGCCTGAGCAGCCCCCGCTTCTGGGTCATCTGAAGGCCCACTGCTGATGGTGGGTGTCGCGCCCCTGCTGTGCTGCCCCCTGGTGGGGTGTGCCGTTGCCCGCCGGCGTGCTGGAGGCTCTCGGGGTCTGGGGCATGTGCCGGCCTGGCCTGGTGACTGCCTGCTGGGGCTCGGCCTGGGGGGAGGTGCACCCTGGGGGCCCAGGCCTCTGTGCCCATGCCTGGATCTGGTCTGGCGTAGCAGGTGCCGGCGGGACCTATGAATTTGTCGCTGCTGACCCCGGGAGTTTACCGCATGGGGTCACTGGTGGGACTCTCCCGGTTCTCCCCTATGGTCCGAGCTGGGGGGTGGATGGGCGGTTGTTCCTGTGTYGGTGCCCCTGGGGGCTCTGCGTTCGAGGTCCCTCTCACAGCCTTGGGCTCTGGTCTCCCGTGTCTGCCTCGGGTCTTGGGGGTCGGGTCTGTGGTCCTCCACAGTCACTATTAAATATTCCATTGGAGAAATCTTGTATATACATGCATGCTCACAACCACTCACGAACAGGTGTTCAGATCCAGGGGGTCTGACGGTCACTGTGTGTGTGTGTGTGTGTGTGTGTGTGTGTGTGTGTGTGTGTGTGTGTGTGTG